GGTTATATCAAATGAAAAAAGGATAAAATTTAGAAAAAAACGAGTCCAAAAACTTAATTTTGAAAATTTACTCCAAAACCACTGTTTTTTTTAGTGGTGTACCACCTTAACATCTTACATTTAACATCTTACATTTAACATCTTACATTTAACATCTTACATTTAACATCTTACATTTAACATCTTACATTTAACATCTTACACTTAACATCTTACATTTAACATCTTACATTTAACATCTTACATTTAACATCTTATATTTAACATCTTACATTTAACATCTTACATTTAACATCTTACATTTAACATCAGTTTTTAAGTTAGGGAAATAATTGGTGGTAGCGCAAAATTTGGTGCGATGATAATGATATTATATTGTAAGAGGATAGTATTGTCTATATAACAAAGTCTCTCGTTTAGCTTCTTGTGATAATATAGTATTATCAATGCGTCAAAGTACTATTGCAACATAGAATGTTTTTTTAAATTTACGTGATGACAAGAAAGATTATTCTAAGGATGTTTTTTGTACCTGCTTTAGGGAATAGCTTTATCTACTTAATTACTTAGGAGATTTTATTCTTTTTACAAGTAATCTTGTTTTTTATCTCCTCAAAATAAAACAAAATATTTCCATTTGGAAAGGTTGTTCATAGAACGCTCTACAGACAGAGCGTTGTAACAACAAAATCATCTTGGTTTTGTCTAATAATAAATTCTATTCAGCTTTGACATTTTGTAAACAATATAATGTTTTCAGTTTAAAAAAAAAAAATTAAAACTAAAAACGGTATAAAAGTATTTAAGGCATTAAAAAATCAAAAAGATATAAAAACAATAAAAACGTTTGCAAAAGGATTAGAAAAAAACGGGAAAAAAAGTTGAGTGTCTTATGCAGATGATTGTTAAAATTAAATATGAAAATTACCAAATATAAATAATTAGACAGAATAATTTACCACAAAAACTATTTACAGATAAGAAAATGATTTAAAAAAAAAAGAGTTATGACTGAAAAGCTATATTAAGTTTTACAATTTTTTTTTTCAAATTAAAAAATACAGAATAATAAATGAGCTAAATTTATGCAATATGTATAAATTTACATTAACTAAAAGTTAATGTAAATTTTACAGGATTTTTTTCAAAATCATTAAAGCCTTGTAACTTAGTACCATTGTAACTTAGTAACAATCGTAGCTTAGTAACAGTTGTGTTTTAGTAACTTTATTAACAGTTATACTTCTTTTATTGCTTAAATTTATTGCAATTAAATCATAGGGTTACAAAATATTTTCCCAAATCTTTAAAAATTGTAAATATGCTAATTCAAAAACAAAGGTGAAGAACTTAACTATTCCTATCAATTCAGTGGCGTAACTGAATGTAATGTAGCCTGGAGCGGCTTTAAAAATCTTTATAAGTGAGTAGAATTACTCATAAAGAATATGCATTTTGTATCTATTCCAATATTTCAACACCTAGTAAATAGATTCTTTATATTGGTTTAAAAATTAGTCCTAACCCATTCCTCTAGGGACAAAAAAATCTTCAAAATGATTTTAAAATAACATCAAGTTGTAAAAAAGATGATAAGTTAATAATTTATATAGTATTTTAAATAGCAGCTTTTGTTTTTAATTTTTTTTAAACATGTTTCTAAATGCGGTTACTTTAAGTATTTTGAACTTAACGTCCAACAAATTTCTTTTATTAGAATATTACTAAATACCTAATAAAATGCCAGAATGACTCAAAACTAATCTCGTACTGTTAAACGGAAAAAGTATCAATTATGTCGAGGTTTGCCGGCAGGTTTACGTGTCTTGATTGTTCAATTATCTATGCAAGGGTGATTTGCTAAATTCTTCATACGCACCGAAAACCGAGCAATTATATTAATATTTTATTTCAAGCAATTATATAAATTAGTTTTATACTTTGCCTATCATTTGTTATTTTTATTTTATAAAAAATTTACATGAACTATGAACGTGTTCAAAGTTTTGCAAAATGCTTTGTTGTTTCTGATTACTACAGTAACTGTAAAGGCTCAAACAAATCCAGGTAAACTTATTTTTGTATAGTTTAGTGCAATAACAGTGCAAAATTTAACATTTGTATTAGTGTAGCATTTTTACAAAAATTTTCTAATTTTTTAGCATTTTTAAAGGCACGCAACTAAGGATAAATCACATTAACTATTTATTCCCAAAATAAAAAAAAAATAAAAAAAGAAACGAATTCTTTTAAAACTTATTTTTATAGTTTGTTTTTCTTTAAAAAAAAAATTCTTTAAAATTATTGTTGTTAGGTTCTCTTGAAATCTAAAATGCTTACATCACGTAAAAATTCAAAATGTTGTTCTTTATATTACCTCATTTTGACAGGAGGCAATTGTTTATCAAAAAAACGTTTTTTGATTAAACTTGCAAGATTTTTATATAGGACATTTTCTTCTGGAAGGCTTTTTTATTTATTTTTAAACAGAATTAGTATTTCAAAAAAAAATTTATGCTTTAAAAACTTAATTTAAAAAAATTTATTACAAAGAATCTAATTTTTCAAATAAGTTTATATTAAAAAGATTTTTTTTTAATGATTCGAAAGACAGTTAACTCCTCGAAAACAGACAGTTAACTCCTCGAAAACGAAAGACAGTTAACTCCTCGAATTCGAAAGACAATTCCTTCGTACATTTTTTTGAAACAAATAACTTTTTTTGAGTGAAATCTACTCAATTTGAATCGAATGAACCGAGTGGAATCAGCTAAGTAATCAAATCAACTTTTAATTACTTTTTATTGAATGGATAAAATAATATTTTTTCAAATTGAAAATTGATTTTTACGTCTATTGTAAATTTAATTAAAATTATGAAAAAATGGAAACAAAATTTAATTAAATGATTAATTAAAATAATCGTAAAATTTGACAAGATTTGTGACTTCGGCCAGGTTGGTATAATTTTTCCAATTTTTAAATAAGATTTATATATGTCTTTTATAATCTATTATATATGTAACAAAAAAATTTCTAAAGAAAAATTTCTAAAAAAAATTACATAACTTAAAAAGTCTTACGTAAGTAAGACTTTTTAAGTTATGTAATTTTTTAAGCTATGTAATTTTTTTTTAAAAGATATTTAAAAATACACTAAGAAATCTTTACTCAAAAAAATTAAAATTGACGCGAATAAATCAAACCACTTTTTTGAGTAGGGCTAAAGTCATAATTTAGAGTTACTTATGAGTATTAACTCTTATTACTTAACAATGATACTCTAAATTTTAACATTAAAAAACATCTCGACTGAATTGTGTCAAATACCCGACTAGTTGACTAAATACGTCAAAATACCGACTATAACTTAAAAATTACCTTATTTTGAAGGGTGTTCTACCTCCTCCCCATACACACACGCGCGTGCACTTACACCCCCTTTCTATCTAAAATTGCATCTGGTTATGTAACACAGGTATTAAAGGTTGATATCTGTGTTAACTCAGAGGTTATCTTTGTGATTGAGTTTGATGTTTGTGATAAAGATATATTAAACTGAGTTTTATTTTCCAGTAGTTTTAAATATTCTTTAACTTGAAAAAAAGTCATACGCTTAAATATAGATTGTTATTAAATGACATATGTTATAAGTTTGTTAAAAAGCAATTAAAATGCTGGTAAAATACAACTTAATTTAAGATCAATTTAAAACAAAACCGCAATCTTTACTTGGTAAAATTTTATTTCTCGTATATAATTAAAAACGAATAACTCAGTTTATATCATAATTAATGCATATTTATCTGATATTAATAAAATTTTATCTGTTTGTTTTCACTTAGATGCAATTTTTTTGTATTCTGTAACTCACTGTCTCTCTTATTTACACTTTGTAACTCACACTACTCATTTTCACACATCTTCGTCTTTCACCTTTTAAATTTTTGTTATTTAAAAACCCTTGGTGCGTGGTTGCAAGTCATGACGCTTTAGTTATAGCGAAATCTGTCTTGGGCGAATCTGGGTATTTGTTCGCTGTGAGACAAGCAGGGGTCGTGTCCTCATCTCTCCGTTAAGCTTAACAGAGCGTTAGTCAAAAAAGTTTTTAAACACTAATTTTTATTTTAGTATCAGTTTTATTTAAATGAATTTAAAAAAAGTTTTCGTCATTTCTTTACTTAGAAATATTGTAATGAAATTTCAGACATAAGCTAAATTAAGCTTGGCGGAGAGATAAGAAAATGGCTGCAGTTTAAAAAGAATAATGATTATAAACTCAATTCATAACCAGTTTTTTGAAACCAAACTAAACTTTACTTATATATTTACATAACATCGCAAATGGGTGTCTCGCGTTAAATAATAACACAAAAACAGAAGAAAATATAGTTATTTAAATTTAAAATACATTTTAGTAATACTTATCTCTCAAAACTCATGCAAATGAGTATTTTGTCATAGGCTTTCTCTGAACTCAGGCTTCTTTATTTCAAAGAAAGATATATCCTTTAAAGTAAATTGGTCCAAGATATTTATGAAAAATTTTCAATTAAAACATCTTTTTAACTACTTCTAACTTCCGTTATAAATATAATGATGCATTTTACAACTTTATAATTACTAAAAGTATTAAATAACAATTAATAAATTATTAAATTTTGAAAGAAGTTAAAAGAAAATAGAAAAGAAAAGAAGAAAAGAAAGAAGTTAAAAGAAAATCATCCAATAAAAAAAGATTTTTAAAGTTTTTGTTTGAAAAACTCTTGAGAAAAGTCAAAGTTTTTCAAAACTATTTTTTTCCAAAGAAAAACTCTCTGAAATGAAATACAATATTTTCCATAACAAGTTTGATAAGACACTGATTACAAATATCGATAAGGCACTGATTACAAATGTCGATAAGACACTGATTACAAATATCGATAAGACACTAATTAAATATAAAAATAAAAGACACTAAAGCGGAAAAAATCTGAACCGGCTAGACAACGTTGGGAAACAATGCTGACAGGACTTCAGTTGATCAGTTGAGTTCATTTTGATGTTTGGTTCAGTTAATGAGTTGAGTTCTTATAGTTTATGCTGGTACAGGGTTCATGCAACATGTTTTCTTAGGAGCCAACATTATTGGCATTTTTTGCGAAGATTAAAACAACGCACCCGTAGCTCGGTTATTATTTATTTATCAGCCATTTTTCTTATTGTTTTCGTAAAGAAGTGAACCTAGAAAACGTGTTTAAGTCTAATTTAATTATCTAATGAAAATTGGTTTTCAAGCTTTTCAAGAAGGGTAAACTGCACAGTTATTGGACACTTAAGGTATTACTAACAACTAGACATTAAGTCAAAAATGAGCAGTTTTGACTTGATGATGCATATATATATATATATATATATATATATATATATATATTATATATATATATATATATATATATATATATAATTTATATATATATACATATATATATATATATATATATATATATATATATATATATATATATATATATATATATATATATATATATATGTATATATATATATATATATATATATATATGTATATATATATATATATATATATGTATATATATATATATATATATGTATATATATATATATATATATATATATATGTATATATGTATATATATATATATGTATATATATATATATATGTATATATATATATATATATATATATATATATATATATATATATATATATATATATATATATATATATATATATATATATATATATATATATATATATATATATATATATATATATATATATATATATATATATATATAAGTAAACAAAAAAAAAAAAAAAATGAGTAGCCTCATATGATGCTAAAAAATAGAAAACAAAAGTATACTACTTTATCATTTTTATGACAATTTTTTTCGAAAAAATAAATTATTCTCATATTCGACTAAATCGACTTTATATCGACATTAAAAACGTATTAGTTGATTTTAGTCGACTTTAGAAAACATATTGTCGATTTAGTTAACAGTCGAATTATTTAATAGTTGTAACAACACTAAGAAACATAAAATTTGTCAAAAATATTGCATAAATTGCTAGTTATAACTAATATAAAACGTAAAATCTTTTTAATAAAAAAATAAAAAAATAAGAAAAAGTGTAATTGTTTAATATTTGTAGGAGATGTCTAACCTCCTAACCTAAGATATTTTACAATAACTTTTGCACAAATTTTTTTTTTTTTTTTTGGTTTACATTTGTTAATCGTTGTACAGCCCATAATAAAAATATTAGAATAAACTTACAATGGCATAAAACATAACAAACATAAACAAGGTATCTGAAAGAGAATCGCAAGGATCTTGTCGTCAGAACCTTAAAAAAAGCATTTAACAAATATAAGATTTTTAAAAACTTTTACAAAATTGCAATGCAAAAAATATGTGCCTGAAGAAAGATCAAGAGGATCTTCTCATCATATAAATTAAAAACCCAACATATAAAATAAAAAGTAAAAAGTTTAAGAACAATAAATAAAATAAGTAGGAATAAACTTCTATAAACATAAAACTTCTACAAACAAAATAAAATATATATATATATATATATATATATATATATATATATATATATATATATATATATATATATATATATATATATATATATATATATATATTTAACTTTTACTAATAATAACTCAATATATTATCTAATGAAAAAATGAGGTTTTTCAGTTTTTTTAAAAAAGGCTAAATGTAATAGGTACTTCAAAATTAAAATTCGCCAAAACAATTTTATTCCAAAGGTGTGGCACTCGATAGGTAATACAAAATAGATTAAAGTTTGTTTGACAGAAAGGTTTATTTAAAAAGTTATTATTTCTCAAAATATATTTACTGACTGTTTTAAAAGAGAAAAGATCTTTGAATACGGCTAGGGATAAGTTATTATCTCTTTTTATTTCCTTTTGATCGATAAAGATTTGAGGTATTTTTGATGGGAGAAACCGCTTTTTTGTAATCGAATGAAATAAAATCCATTTTGTTTTCTTAGTATTTAAGGTTAACTTATTACACTTGAACTAATTAGATATATGTCTGAGTTCTTTGTTCACTGTTTTAAAAAATTCATCGATATCATAGTTGGAAAGGAGTAAATTTGTATCATCTGCATACATAATGCTTGTTAGTTTTGAAGCTTTATTTAAGTCATTTATATAAATTAAAAAATGGAGAGGTCCAAAAATTGAACCTTGTGGGACTCCACAAGTTGTATTAAGAAAAGTGGGTTGGTAATCATTGTTAAATGGTACAAATTGCTTTCGGTTAGATAGATAACTTTTAAATCATTTTATAATTTTATTTTTTATTCCGTAGTATTTGAGTTTATAAATTAAAATATGGCGATCGACCGTATCAAAAGCTTTTGATAGGTCAATAAAAATTCCTAGTGTATACTGTGATTTTTCGAATGATTTTGAGATTTCACGTACAAATTACATAATTATTTGTGCTCTTCTTTAAAAATAGAAATAATTTTTGCAATTTTTAATTGTTTTGGGAATATTCCTTGATGGATAAAAGCCCTAAAGATTTTAAAAAGAACAACTTTAAGTTATTCAAAGCAATCTAAAACCACGTTTCCATTAATTTGATCTGCTCCAATTGCTTTATTTTTTTTAACAGATTTAAAAGCTCTTTCAAACTCATCAAACATTAATTCGGAAGATAACTCATCTGAACAAATGTAATTATCCAGGGGTTCTAAATAGTCAGTAAACAAAGATTTGGTCTTAGGGATTTTTTCAGACAGTGTTGGTCCTATATGAGTGAAATATTTGTTAAACTCTTGAGCTATAGTTTTTGGTTCATATAAACTTTTGTTATCGGCTCTAACCATTTGTGGCAGAAAACCAGAGCATGGTTTATTTTTGCCAATAATTTCTTTCATTATTTGCCACGTGCGCTTTGTGTCGTTTTTAAATGTATTGAATAATTGGGAGTAATAATTTTTCTTTAAATTTTTGCGAATTTTTTCATATAGGTTTTTGTTGTTCTTATAGATTTTTTCGCTTGAGGCTGTTTTTGTTTTTAAAAAATTTATGTATAACTTTTGTTTTATTCTGGATGATTTTTTAAAACCTTTAGTAATCCTTATAATTATATCCTTATAGTGATAATTAATAAGGGTGTTTAGTAATCCAGGGTGTATTGATATTCTTAGTTGTTATTATTTTTTCTATTGGGAAATTAACTTCATATATAGAAAAAAATGTTTTGAAAAAAGTTCATAAATATTATTTGCGTTATCATCAAAATTTATGTTTTTCCAATGCAGTAATGATATTTGTTTTTTAAATAATTTAATATTACCCTCATTATAAATGCGTTTCCTTATTATTTTTTTATATTGTTTCTTTCTGGGTTTGTTTTATTAAGTTTTAAGAATAGAGGAAAATGATCCGATATATCAGTTTTTATGATACCTATTTGTATATTATTATTAAAAATATCAGTAGTTATGATATTATCTATAAGAGTTGCTGTGTTTATTGTTACTCTAGTGGGTCGATTTATTAAAGTAACTGACCCTGTTTCAAAAATTGCATCATAAACATTATTAATTTTTTGGTCGTCATTAGATAGAAAACAGTTCTTAATTTATTATTAAGAATATCAAAATTACTACTTATTTTATCTTCTGTGATCCAAGTTTCAGTTAAACAAATTATATTAAAAATGTGTTTAGTTTCTTCTAATAGATTTAAAAGTTTTTAAAAATTGCATTTCAAACTTCTCATATTGAGGTGGAGAATTACAATTTGATTATTACTTTTTTTGCGAGCATTCTTAAAAAGAAACCCTTCTAGTTGGTTTGGAAAATGATACGAACAATCGGATAAAATAATGCGATAAAAATTATTTTCAGGGTCTAGGTATTCTTCTGAAGAAAAGGGATTCAAAGTTATTAGTTATAGCCATGATAAAAAATAGGGAGAAAAAAAAAAAAAAAAAAAAAAGGATTTCTTTTTAGGAGTACTAGTTATTTGTTAAATTGATTTTAAAATTATTATTAAGATAATTTTGTCATATCTAACCGTTACATTTTCATCATTTGAACGCCATTATTTTACTTCGGCAAATAATCTTTTCTGAATAGCAACGGTCTCACGAGAAAAGTCTTCGTTAATAAAAAAACTCGTGCCTTTTAGTCGATGAGATTCTTTCAAGATTCTTACTTTGTCATTGTATTTCTGCAGGTTAAGTACTATTGTCCTCGGTTGTCCATCTTTCTTCAATCCAGTGCGGTGAGCACGTTCAATGTCGATATTTTTCAGTCCAAGTTTTTGCCAAAAGAATGTGTGAACTTTTTCTTCAGAGTCCCCCCTTGATTCTTGCCTATTTTCATCAATTCCATCGATTCGTAGGTTATTTCTTCTTGATCTATCTTCCAGGTTTCGTTGCTTTTCCTTTATAAATTTTTCTGCATTAGTATTTCGAATTTTTTATCCAGTTGTTTATTGTTGTAATGAGTTTTTTTGTCAACTAGTTCTTCGTTGTAGTTTAGACTATGCTTAATATCTTCCAATTCCTTTGTAAGTTCTTTAATTTTGTTTGCATTCACGTTGATGTTTAACTCTGCTTTGTTCATTCTGTCGTTAATTATTTTTATATTAGCGCCAAAAATATCAATAACAGTTTTCTCTTGTTTACGAAACATTTCTTCAGTTTATTTTTTGATTTCTTTAAACATTTCTTTTAACATTTTTTTATTTCAGAAAGTGTTACTACCATAGTATAATATACGTTATAAAATAGAAATAGTTTTTTTAGATTAGGCTTGAATATCTTTTTAAATGTAAAGTAATCCAAATGTTTTTTTTTTCTTTTTTTTTTTATTCTCCTAGTGGTAAAATCGCGTCCGCTCTTGTTGAATGCTTTAAAAAATTGTTGCTTGCGTTAAAAAATTATATTGAAATAAAAATAACAATGACGTTCTTTCCGTCTTTATTGGAGTCGCTGACTTTAAAAGCGTTTCTTTTTTAAAATTTTTTTCTGAATGAAGTTTCTTAATTTTTTCCTTTTCAGGAGTGTCAGTATAGTATATATTGTTGATTTCCCTGGTTTCCTCTTCATTCGTTTTGTCTTAAAGGTGCTTTAGGCAAGGGCCGCACATGATCTAGAACCAGTTTTTAATTGTTAGAGTTATTCAAGTAGTTGTTCATTGGTAGATAAGGGTGGTAAATTATTTTGTAATGGTGTTCCCATTACTCCTAGATTTTCATTTGGTTCTCCAATTAGTGTTCTAACTGTGA